TTTTTTTTTTTTTTTTTTTTCCAAGTTGTTTGGGCATGGGAACAGTAAAGACCTCACCTTCCCATCTTAGGGCTAGTTGTTCCCTCCCTACATAAGCAGCCAGCCTCTCCCTGGTCTTCCCTGTGGCCATCCTGCCCCGCCCCACAAGTCTGCTCTCCCCTGGCGGCCAGAGGAACTTGTAAAAATGGCAATTAGGTCACATCTCTCCCCTTTACAGCCTTGTCATAGCTCCTCAGTGCACTCAGAATAATTACCACCACACCTGCTCCTCCTCCCCATCTTCCTCCTTCTGGGTAATGGCATCCCAGGTGCAGCTTTCCCCACCTGATTGCGGGCAGCGAGATGCCAGTCTCTATTCTCTGCTCTGCAAAGTGGCAAACATGTAGCCAGTCTCATCTCAGAAAACATGATATAAGGACGTCTTATGTTCATGTAGCTGACAGAAGTGCTACCTCTACCTCCCCCTCCACACACCCTGATTTACTTTTCTTTGTAGAACTTACCCAGTTGACATATTTTTAGTTGTTTGTTTGTTTGTTGTCTGTCTCTTCCTCAAGTTAGAGATTTGTGCCTGCTTCATTCAGTGCCCTGTAACAACGTTACAGAGGAGGTGCTCAGTAAATATAGTAAATGGAGCCTTCCCTGCTCCCAGTGACAATTCACTGTGTCTCATGCGTTCACATGGCAGATGGCATGGTCCTCACTTAATACTTTCCCCCTCCAGACTGTGGACTTGGCAAGGGCAGCCTCTGCTGCAATCTCCCCGGTGGTGGTCCCAGGGCCGGGCACAAAGTAGGTGCTAGTAGATGTTGATGTGTTTTTTCTATAGGCACAGCCGCTTCCTGCCTCCTGAGGACTCTTTGAGCCATAGGAAAACTAGACGTGAGTGGCCACTTGATGCCCCCACCCCTGAAGAGTGGCCAGGTGAAATCATGAGGACCCTGGATGTGGGTCTTGCTTCTCTGGACAGCAGGACTTACAATAAATAAAGACTCTATATACCGGGCTTTGATTCCTGCCTTCAGCACCTGAGGGGCCCCTGGAGAGCTGGCTGGGCAGAAACCCTGCTCCTCTGTTCCCCAGCTTCACTTAGTGTGCCAAAGAAGGACGTGTTCACCAGGGTTAAGCTGACTCCTCTTCTTCCCTTGTTAACTCTGCCAACAGCCACTTCCTGTCTCCTGCACAGACATGGGAAAAGGCTCTCTCTCCCTTCCACTTTAGCATTTACCAAGTCTTTATTGAGTGTTTACCTGAGGCTTGGAGGGCAATAAATATCACACTTCTTTTCCTTCTGAGTTTTGAGCCAGTTGTGTGATAGACATGCACACTAGGCGATGGGGCTAAAAATACTGGCTTTATTATTGAAAACGGCTGCATTGTGGAATGTGGCTTAGAGTCTGCTGCCCTGGACTTCTGCCTTCGTTTGTGTTCTTCCAGAGTCCAACCCTGAGAACCGGAGAGCAGATAGTATATTTGGAATGTGTGATTCCAGAAGCATTTGAAAGGGAGTGGGGAGGTGAGACAGGAAGGCAGCCAATAAAAGGTGCATTATCAGGCCAGTCACCACCGTGATCAGTGGGCTCAATCCAAGGGGCAAGGAAGTTGGGCTATAGATCATCAACTCCCCATCTGTCATTGGGGCTGTTGCCATGGGTGTTGACCATCTAGCACCTCTGCCTGCCCCATGTGTTGTCATGTGCCCTGCCATCAAAAAAGCCCTGAGCGGAGAGTAGTGGAGAATCAAGTAAGCACTCAGGGCCCAGAAGAATGCTGAGTGGATGTGGGCAGGGACCAGCAATGGCTGCTGCAGCTCCTGAGCATTTCTCCTCAGGAGTCCGTGTTCTGTGGGCCCAGCTATTTGATTACACGCTCTCCAGCAGGGGCATGTCCTAAAGGACAGAAGGCAGACAGACACGTATGTAGGAGAAAGAACCCCAGGTGCCTAGTTGGTGTGCCCAGGACCTGCAGCCAGATTCATTCAGACATGTTGCTTCCCCCTGTGGGTGACTCCAGACTTCCAGAAATTAGAAGTGACTGACCAGTGATGACTGGACTGACTATTTGAAGCCTAAGTCTTGTGCTCTGGCTTGGAAAAATGAGCTAGAGTGTCTCCTCAGGATTTGATCGTTAAGACAAAGAAAGTTGTCACTTGGCTTGGGAGCTGAGGTGGAAGTCCTGCCATCAGGGTTGCAAGAGCTAACAGATGCCAGGAAGCCCAAAGCAGGGAAAACCCAGGTAGAGGGAGGACTGTGATTAGCTTCTGTGGTCCCTAAAAGGGCTGCTTGGGTCCTGCTGGCTTTCTGTTCGCAGCTCCAGTTTTCTTGGGCTGTGGATTGAGTCCTCAGATTCTTTGTATTCAGCAAACCCCACTTTGCCTGGGTAAGCTTGAGTGGGGTTCTGCTCCATGTAGCTAAAGGAACTGTGATAAGAACAGACAAAACAGGTCGAGACTATGTAGAACCTCTCAAAGTGGCCTCTCTCCCAATAGGCTAGACCAGCTTCCTTATCTGGTGGTATCAAGGGTCCAAGAGAGCAAAAATGGAACCGTCAAAGTCCGTTTTTACCACTTTCTGTTGGTCAATGCAAGTCACGAGGTCAACCCAGGTTAAAAGGGTAGGAGACTCCGCCTCTTGATGGCATTTGGCTGCAAGGAATTTTGCCCACATTTAAACTACCATAGGAACTTTACTAGTTTCTATTCCTGTGGTGAATTGCGTTTAGGAATTTTTCACATGATCTAAAATTTCAAACTGCCATAAAGTTGTTCATAATAACCTCATATAATCTTTTTAATGTCTATAGAATCTGCAGTGAAAGCTGCTTTCTCATTTCTGACATTGGTTATTTGTACCCTCTTTGTTTTCTACTTATTCAGTCTTGATTAGTTTACCAATTTTAATCTACACAGAATTTACTTTTGGCTTTGTCGATGTTCTTTGTGTTGTGTATTTGTTTTTAATTTAATTATCTTCTTTATAATTACCTTTTTTGGATTTAATTTTGTTTTCTACCTTTTAAAGTTTATCTTTCTGAGAGGGAGAGTACGTGTGTGCGCACGAACACACGCATGCACACACACACACACACACACACACACACACACACACACACACAGAGCAAATGAGGGAGGGGCAGAGAGAGAGAGAATCCCAAGCAGGCTCTGCACTTTCAGCACTGAGCCCAATGTGGGGCTCATGAATGGTGACATTATGACCTGAGCTGAAATCAGGAGTCAGTCACTTATCTGACTGAGCCATCCAGGCACCCCTGTTTTCTACCTTTTTGAAATGGAAGCTTAGCTCACTGAATTTAGCCTTTTTTTTCTTTAATGTTTATTTTTGAGAGAGAGTACAAGCGGGGGAGGGACAGAGAGAGAAAGACACAGAATCTGAAGCAGGCTCCAGGCTCTGAGCTGTCAGCACAGAGCCCAATGCAGGGCTCGAAATCATGAACGGTGAGATCATGACCTAAGCCGAAGTTAGATGCTTAACCAACTGAGCCACCCAGGCACCTCATCTTTCTTCTTTTCTAATGTATGTATTTAAATTTCCCACAAAGCAAGCCTTTCTGTTTTGCATTTTTCATTGATCCCAGCTTATTTAGAAATTTAAAACTGTATTTTTAAATTCCTAAGCATATGGGGATTTTTCTAGTTATCTTGCCTAATTGCAATTGGGCTGGGAACACATTTTATATGGTTTCAATCTTTTGAAATATGTTGAGACTTTATGGCTTGGCATAGGGTCAGCTTTTGTTAATGTGCCATCTGTGCTTGGATCATAATCCTTGGTTCATGATGCACTATCTTAGGTTGGGTTCCCCCAGAAATAGACTTTGAGGCAAGGCATTGGGAGATGACCCCAGAAAGCACTGGTAAGGCTGAGGGAAGTGAAACAGGAAGGGAAAGCAGTACATCAAGGCTGCATTATCAAGCAGATTATCACTGGGCAACAGCTTAATTCTCTGGGGAACTCTGGGAAACAGTGGAGAACATACCTTCCCACTCAAGAGGTGGGGGGTATTTATACACTAACCCCCATCAGTCATTTAGTTCAGGGTCACTTAGGGGACTGGAGTTTCAAATTCCCTGCTGCTTCCTGTTTGTCAGATACAGAGGCAGAGTGGACTTTGGTGGAGAGAAAGCTCTCTAGCAAAGAGCAGCTGCCTCAGTGCAGTTCACTTCAGTGGTAGCCACTCTGTGGCCATTCATTACAATGGCCACCACCCATTGCCACAGCCGCCATTGCCCCAGCCTGTCACGGCTGCCTTAACAGCAGCCACCATCATCTCAACTTCCTTTGCTGCCTGTCGCTGCTGCTGCCATCCGTCACTGCATCCTGTCACAATTGCCATTGGTGGAGGTATTGCAATAACAGGAATGCTTTCAAAATGCTTGACTCAGTTCACAAAGAATGACTACCTTCAACCAAGTAGGCCACCTAGAAGTGGTGGGCATGAAGGCTGAGGGAGTATTGAGAACAGTGTGGGGAGGGACAGGTGGCGGTGTATGGGGACGTGTGCAGATGCTGAAGTGGTTGAGTGAGCCGATGACCCTCAGGATTCTGAGGAGGCAGAAAATGGCAGTCAAGGGAGTGCAGAGGTGAGGAGGTAGGGTTTGTTAAGCAGAAAGCAGATGTTCAGCAATCTCCACTTCACCTTGGTGGTTGAACTGAGGATCTGTGCTTGCCTTCGAATACACTGACTTTGTTGATAAAGTCATCAGAATAAGAAATAAGTATTTCAGTCAGTACTTCCCTTCAGTGGGCAAGCAAGCACCTTATTTATGCTGTGAAAAGCTTTCAGTCAGAATATGCACAAATAGAACCAGATTCTCTAAGGAAGTTTATAACCCTGAAAGAAAGCAAGTTGGCAGGGCACCTGGCTGGCTCAGTTGGTAAAGCATGTGACTCTTGATCTCAAGGTCATGGGTTCAAACCCCATGTTGGGCATAAAGCTTTAAAAAAAAAAAGAAAGAAAGAAAGAAAAAAAAAAGCCAGCTGGCTTCTACCATAAAGTATGCTGCTTTTAAAAAGTCTGAGCCCACACCCTACAGCAATTAAATCAGAATGTCTTAGGGTGAGACCCAGACTTTGGTATTAAAAAATATATACCAAGGGGCACCTGGCTGGCTCAATCAGTAGAGCATGTGACTCTTGATCTCTGGGTTATGGATTCAAGCCCCATGTTGGGCATGGAGCCTACTTTAAAAAAATGTATATACTGATTTGAAAATCTATTTCAATGTGCAGGCAAGGATGAGAAGTGCTGTCCTAGTGGAATTTCTCAATTTTGGTTGACTGTGTTTTATAATATTAACGTGCTTGGAATTAAGGTTTGAAAGCTGTTGAGCCTATCTGGAAGCCCCTGATGACACAGAAAGCTGACGAGTGTCACAGTAGTCTTTCTTTTTTAACCCAATAAATATTTGCCAGTGAGGTGGTGACGTGAAACAAGGTCAGACCCAAATAATTTGAATCCCTTCTTCCTTCTCTGATGGGCCAGACATTATGGGATGCATGGTATGTCAGGTCAGCTGGACAGAAGGAAAGAGTGTCACTTTGAAAAGTATTAAGAAGCGGCAAAAGCGTCAAGGATGTGGGGCACCTGGGTGGCTCAGTCGGTTGTGTGGCCGACTTCAGCTCAGGTCATGATCTCACGGCTTGTGAGTTTGAGCCCCGCATCGAGATTTGCGCTGACAGCTTGGAGCCTGGAGCCTGCCTCAGATTCTGTGTCCCTCTCTTGCTCTGCTCCTCCCCCACTTATACTCTGTCTCTCTCTCTCTCTCTTTCTCTCTCTCTCTAAGAATAAAAAAATAAAATAAAAAAAAAATGCCAAGGACATGGACAAGATTGTGTAACAAAGGGATCTGCCCTCCTGAGGCTCCCAAGGGCAGATGACTGGACGGTTGATGGAGCTGCTCTTGCTGCAGAGTGTGGGCAGATAGTCTAGTCCAAGGCAAATCTCGTACTTTCCAGGAGAAGCCACTGAGAATAACACCAGGACTGTGGAGGAGCAGTGCACGGTGCTGGTGAGAAAAAGGGGTAAATGCAGACCAGAAAATGAAGACCAGAACAACCCCAAGCATCTGTACCCAGCAGAGCACAAGTCCCATGGAACCAGGCCCAGGCAAACGTGTATGTTCTTAAGATACATAAATGAATGTTCATTTATTTTGAGAGAGAGAGAGAGAGTACACATGAGTATGAGTGGGGGAGGGAGAGAGAGAGAATCCCAAGCGGGCCCTGTGCTGACAGAGGGTTCAATATGAGTTG